CTGGGTACTCTGGTTTCTTCCCACAGACCAAAAACATGCATGTTAGGTTTACTGGTAACACTAAATTGTCCCTAGGTGAGAAATGACTGCTGGATGTAGGCACCAACTCCCTGCAACCTGGGAAAGGAAGCAGGTAAAGAAAATGGATGGACTGATCATTTATGACTGTTGTTGTTTATCTACATTCTTGTTGTCTGTATGAGGACCGGGATCAGTGTATTTATATCCTTTATCACATTTTCATCATCATTGGAGTGCGAACAGAGGATGCAGACAGAGTGAGATGCAGGAGGATGACTTGCTGTGGCGATCCCTGAAGAGGGAAAAAACCAAAAGAGGAAGAAGAATATAATTTATCACATCTGCAAACTTGTTCTTGGAATTCTTTAAACATTTCAATATATCTGCCAGGAAAAAAAGCTTTTAGCAGTTGTACACTTTTCTTCTTTTTATTTTTTACCAATTATGGAGTTAACAGGGTCCCTGCAGTACATAATCAAAACAGTGACATCATTTGCTTTGTGTGTTTACTCTGTTACTTTGTTCAAAACACACATGGGATATTTCTGTGGAAGCTGGTGAGTTAAAAAGACACGGTCGATACAGAAACAGAAAACATAAACTCACACAGATTGACTGTGAGATACAAGTCTAATATGAAACATGTTTTAGGAAACATTGGCATAAATATAGTATGAATATTAAAGTTCATGCTCAATATTCCAAGTAAAAATCCAACAATCTTCAGTCAGGTCATCTGGACAGTTTCTTTTTTTGCTGAGAGTTTTCGTCCTTCATCCAAAGGACTTCATCAGTCCAAGGAGCCACATACAAATTGAGTCCCACAAGCAACACACCCCCATAGTGGAAAAAAATCAATTTGCTGGTGATAAGATGGTTTCTGGGTATAATGGTGGTTTCTAATAGTATAAATAGTAAAAAGCATTTCTTTTGCATAAAAAGGCTCAATGCTTGCTGCTCTTTAAATATAAAAGATTATATTCTGGGATTTTTTTGTCACATTTATGAGATTATAAGTACAATACAGTAGTTACATTTATTTGTAACCGTTGGCACAAAGTAGAGATAAAAATATGTTTTAGTGAAGTGTTGTTTGAAGAACAACTTGTCTCTGAAGACCAAGGAGCTGGTTATAAACTTGAGATGATGCAAGACAGAAGGCTGCATTCCAGTTTTCATCTGTAAAGACAAAGTAGAGAGAGAGAGAGTGTGCAGGTTCAGATTCCTGGGAGTGCATGTCTCGGAGAACCTAACTGCACAACACTCTGCTCAAAGCTAAGAGGGCACAGAGAAGGAGCCAAACTGCCAAAAAGAGATGGTGGCAACATTTTACCTCTGCTCCGTTGAGAGCTTTGTCATAAACTGCACCTCTATGTGGTACCTTAGCTGCACTGCTGCTGACAGGAAAGCACTCCAGCATGTCATCTTCAGTGTGCAAAAGATTATCAGGACTCAGCTTGAGGCACTGGAGGAGATCTACACTGTGCCTGCATCTGTAAGCACCCCCCCCCCCCCCCACACCCCAATGCCACCACCTCTTTGAGCTGCTGCAATCAGGAAGACATTACTAAGTTTTCTGCAGACAAGCCACCAAGTTGAGATCAAACTGCAGCAGCTCTAAACCAGACCAGCTTATTTACTGCATAACATAACTATATTCTTGCTGCAAAGTAAATTATCAGTATGCACAGTACATATTGATTATACTATGTTCTCTCTTTTGCTCTCGACAAAGATGGTCGCTTTTATCCCTCTCTCCCTCCCTCCTGCTTTTTTGCGCTCTTGTCCTGTCAACCTCCTCAGAGCCTCTCTTTACACATCTCCCGAATCAAAAATTATTATGGATTTGGTCAGCTGGTCTCAACGCAATTTTTTCTACTGCACGACGGAGTGCTGGAGAGCCCTCATGCCCTGAATGGATGCATGCAGCTTGGTATGTCATGAATTCCTGAGTGCAGTGGAAGTTGATGTGCCTGTCTGTGCTGTCCATGCAGGATGTAGAAGATGTGCACATTATTGGATTTATGATAACAGGGTTTCTGCTTTTTGGAATCAGCGAGTACCTAGGATATCGACAAATTAGGAAGACATCGGCAGCAGTTTTGGCCATGGTAAAGCTGCCAGCCTTATGTGAAGCCCTATGTTGAACTCTCAGACTCAAATGCTTAACAAACTCAATCACAAGCTGGATGCAACTTCTGAGAATCGTAGGCCCCTTGCAGCTCCTGGAACTCCCCGGCATGAAGGATTTGACCTTGGAGAAAGACAACGAGCACAGCCTGGGTAGAATGTCCACAAATCTGACTGTTTGGATTGGCCATTGAGTGTCCCAGCAGAACTGAAGGCAGGCAGAAAACAGTCTAGTGGCCCAAAACAATTGATGTTTATCTGAATTCCCCCCACCCCCCCACCCACCACCCTCCTCACTGGCCTTGAACAGACCAACTTATCTTACATTGCTCCTGGATGTAGAGGAAAGGGTCCTCAGATCGTTGAATTTTCATTAGTAATTTTATTCTGAAGGGGCACCACTTGCTTTCCGGTTCTTAAGCAAGAAAATTATTAAATCAGACTCAAGTTTTGTGCTCTAGTAAGTTCTTTTCGTATTAAATTCAAATGTCATATATAATAAAAACGCTTTGAGTCAAAGTACAATTTTGTGAGATTTATTATCGATTTTGATGATTATAAGTGGTCAAACAAAAGTAAGTAAAGCTGGAGCTTGAATAATGGCTTTAATTTGACAACACAAGATGAGGTTAGGTAATTATCTTCTAAGTTTAATATGGTGAATTATGAGGTTTAAAAGCAGAGTAAATTATCATCTATAAAGTTAACTAAATGAAGTAGGAAGATGTAATCTGTCAATTTAGGAAAACTTAATTCTAGTTAATAATGATGATTTTTTTAGACTGGACAACTTCTTATCTTGGGCATCAGACACCAGCAGAGAGAAGGAGCAGTTTTTCCTACCGATTGGAGGTTATAATTCAATTGCTGAGGGTTACCAGGACTCTCGAGGTGAGTTAAAGTGCCGATGGTGGTATATCCCTCGACAATGGACATCAGCTGAAAATTAGAGTGCTCGTTATCTGGCTCTCGATGGGTCAGTTGAGAAGCTCCCGGAGGGCTGCGTTTTCTCCTTCTGGTGACAATGATCTTCTGGCATAAGTTTTCGATTGTTTGACCTTTCTTCTTCAAAAGCTTCTCCCAGACTGCTCTAAGCCAAACGTCAGAATAACTTTCTTTGACTTAGAGGGTGTTACAATATTGATGGTCGAGCCATTCACAACATAAGGGTGGACCTTTGTTTCAAGTTACTGTTAGAACTTTAATAACCTTAATTAAAAAAATAAATGGCTAATTTACTCTGCTTTGGTAAATTCTCAATATAACAGGATAATCAAAACTTCTAAGCAGTTTTTACTCACCCATAAACATTTTCATTAGAACTTGTGCAAACACAGCTGAAACCTCTGATTACCAGTGTTACATCAAAACATTCAATTATGTTCAGGAGAACTCAGAAATTTAAATTGTTCAGAAAAATGATTTCTACCATGGGATGGCAAAATAGTCCTTGAGAACAATGGGGTCTTTCTCACACTCGGACTGCAGGATGAATCCTCCCTTTTCTGAAGAGATACACATACGCTTCAGATGTTATATTTCAAAGGTCAGATGGAAAGATTTTCATACAAAGGGTCTTTCAGCAGTGCTGAAATCATAATAACAGGTGTGCAATTAATTACAACAACAGATTTTTGTTATTCATTTTTTTTTGTAACATGGTTCCTTACTGTCCAGCTTTGGAAATAAGAGTCAGTCTTACTTTCAAAGTATCAAAAGAAATAAAAGTTGATGGTAGAAAAACCTTGATGTGTCCCTACATGAATGATACATAAACTACAAGATCTGACCCCCCACCCCCCATGACATAAGTAGCCTTATCAGAACCATAATGCTGATAGACACTGTAACATCTTATCAGAACTTTGGAACTTTCTGGAGTCTCCATGGACAACTCACTGCCTTTGTTTGACCTCCATGCATAAACGTATTTTGATGTCATTGTATGTTGCTGTTTATGTTGCGAGGTCTTTTTTTGCATCTCTTACACTGTGCCCCGGCCTGGACATGGTGTGAGACATGTTTTTTTTGGCTTACTCCACCCTCGTGTTTTCTTTTTCTCATCTGCCTGTATGTTGTACATAACAGGTCTCTCTTGTAAATGAGTCTTTAAAGCTCAATGGGAAATACCCTGTATAGATAAAGGTCTAATAATAACTATGTAAATTTTATATCCAAATATCTACACAGCCATGCACACTTCTTTTTACACTGATCCTTATCGTGTATTGTTTGATCCTGTTTTCCACTGCACAACTGAATCATCACCTTTTCTTGCAGTTTTCATTTGCATGCTCTTAGATTGTTGCTTTAAATTTTTGTTTATTTTATTTCTTTATTACTTCATCTATTTGAGCTGTAAACTTGTACAACAGTGTGGATAGGAAAGACTCTAGCCAATTCTATTTTAATATCCTGACATATTAAATGTGCTGCATGCTGCCACATCTTCGTATTTGCTCTGTCATTACCCGCCATGTGGCATTTTATGGCTTTGTTTACTTGCCACGTGTTGAGCTGTGTATGCAGTTGGCATAAACAGTGAGGCAACAGCATGATGGGCCAAATTTAAATTAAACCACACCCAACTTATCTGAATCAGAAACAAAGGGATCTGTGTTTGGTGTGCAACTTGTTCTTCAAAAAAAGATTAAACACTTGAGAAGAAATATTATCTCGTAAAGTATGGATATTTTTTATATTTTATTTCAAGCCTCAAAACAGAAATAAAAACAAGATTTATGTTCTAGTTTATATGCATGAGGTGGAATGAGATTTTGTTTTTTGCATCAGTTTGTTACTCAGATTTTTTTAATGTGTACTTTGTGTGTTTGTGCGTGTCCCAGCAGATGTTATGGAGGGGAAGAGTGCCATTCTGTTGGGCATGAGTCAATGGAACTCAAATGACCTGGTGGAGCAGATCGAAACTCTGGGGCATATGGAGAACCAGTCTCATGGTACAGTCTGTGCACACACACACATTCAGACATATTCACACTCACACACACCTAAACACAGCAAGGTTTGCAATTGTCTTGATGTCAGATCTATAGTTATGGTTCATATTGTATGGAATGATGGTGAATGTTATCTACTGAGGGATGACAGTGGTGGCCTGGTTGTAAATGGAGTGTTGCTCCTATTTAAAGCTACATTAATTCATTTTTGACTACAAAAGACCAGAAACAATAAAAGACGAGATGATTTCATCTTATGATGCTGTAATGTGTTGATGGAAATATTTCCAGCTTTTAAACTGCATCTGGATTTATAATAACACTGGAAAGAAACATCATAAAACGTTGTAGAACATTTTAAAAAGTGTAAATTAAAACCTATTAAAAAGAAACACATTTATTGGGTTTGGAAGTTGTAAATTAAAAACTTATTTGTGATTTAAATAAAACATTTTTTTTATCAGAGATTTTATGAGGGGTCATTCAACAGTAAGCTTTGATTCCAGTGGTGGACACAGTTCCATAATCAGCTAAAAGCTATTAGTGGAACAAAGCTTAGCGGATTAGTGTTTTCGCTAGCTTTGAAAAACTTTAGTAGAATTATCCATCCAGCCATCCATTTTCTTCTGCTTATCTGGGGTCGGGTCGCGGGGGTAGCAGCCTAAGTAGGGAGGCCCAGACTTCCCTCTCCCCAGCCATTTGGGCCAGCTCTTCCGGGGGAATCCCGAGGTTTTCCCAGGCCAGCCGAGAAACATAGTCCCTCCAGCGTGTCCTGGATCTTCCTCTGGACCTCCTTCCGGTGGGACGTGTCCAGAACACCTCACCAGGGAGGTGTCCAG